TTTCTCCAGAGACAGTGGGAGCTGAAGAAGAAACATATTCGTTTGTTCGCCTTGAAGATGACCGCACGGAAATTGCATCGGAAGAGGAAACTACTGAAAGGATTAGCGTTAACAGTAACGAAGAAGAAGCATCTGAAAAGAAAACGGAGACCAGTAATGGCAATGGACAGAAAAAAAGCCCACGAGACCGCGAGAAAATCAGAAAACCCGAAAGGCTTGGCTATCCACAAGCTAACATAGCTGAAGCCGAACCAATTACATTCGAAGAGGCATCGCACAGTCCAGAGGCCAAACAGTGGAAAGAAGCAATGCAACAGGAGCTTCTCGCACACAAGTCGAACAAAACATGGTTCAACTCACCGAAGCCGGAAGATAAAAGGATCATAACCTGTAAGTGGATATTCCGGAAGAAGGTGACATCAGGTGAACCAGATCGATACAAAGCTCGACTAGTGGCCCGAGGTTTCTCACAACGACATGGTATCGACTACACAGACACATATGAGCCAATAGTGCGTTATGAAAGTATTCGCATGCTATTAGTAATGGCAGCTGCAGAGAACCTAAACATGTTGCAGTTTGATGTTAAAACTGCCATCCTCTATGGAACCTTGAAAGAAGACATTTGGGTTCAATTACCGGAAGGACCTTGGCCAGAAGAGGAATGTGTCGTTAAACTTGACAAATCATTGTACGGCTTGAAGCAGTCTCCACATTGTTGGAACAAAAAATTCAACGAAGTCTTAAAAGGCTTTAACATGCATAGATCCGAAGGTGATGACTGTATATACGTCGGTAAAGTAGGAACGGAAAAACTATACTTGGCTCTGTATGTGGACGATGGCCTCCTTCTTTGTAAATCGTCAATGATTCTACAGAAGTTTGTGGAAAAGCTGAGAGAAGAATTCGAGATCAAGGTATGCAAGCCCAGGTATTTAGTGGGTATCGAAATTGTGAATGGAATAAAAATGAAAAATTAATCAAGATCCATCAAGCTTCATACATTCAAAGACTTGTAAAAAAATTCAAGATGGAGCATGCAAAAGGTATTTCCATTCCAGCAGATCCCTATGTGAAATTATCAAGACACATGAGTCCATCAAGTGATGCAGAAAGGGTGTCAATGTCAAGAATTCCCTACAGGGAACTAATTGAATCACTACAATTTCTAGTAAACGTCACTAGACCCGACATTGCATTCAGCGTTAACATGCTAAGCCGATATCTACCGGATCCCGGAATGGAACACTGAAATGCCGCAAAAAGGGTACTAAGATACTTGAAGAAAACAAGCACCGACGGAATCTCACTCAACAGTGTGATATCAAAGCAATATTGCATATGTTATTCAGACTCAGATTTTGCAGGAGATGAAGATGAACGTCGGTCTATCTCTGGATACATTGCAGTCATGAACGGTACACCAGTAGCTTGGGCATCACGTAGACAAAAGATTGTGACTCTGTCAACGGCGGAGGCAGAACTAGTGGCCGCATCGCAGACCTCACAAGAAGTCGAATGGCTAAGACAAATGTTAGCAACCATCTACGAAGTTCAAGAAGAAACGATTGATCCCATTCAGCTGAATCTGGATAATCAAACTGCAATTCAATTGAGTGCCAACCATGCTTTCCATCAAAGAACAAAGCATGTGGACATAAAGTACAAATATATACGAAAAGTAATTGAGTCGGGGAAGATATTTGTCAAATATTGTCCAACAGAAGATCAACTAGCAGACATATTGACTAAGGGTTTGCCAAGGCCCCGATTTTATAAACTGAAAGAGCAACTCACGATGCATACGAGGCCTCAGTGGGAGTGTCAAGAACAGAGCCCTCATGTGCGTTCGCCTTTAGGTGGCGTTGAGAGCAGCATCGCCACGCTCATCTAATATACTTTCTTTGTTCTATGTTCCTCACTCAACTTAACGAATACTCAACGTCTGTATACGATATACTAATAATAAATACGATTCTTTTTGTATCAAAAGGAAAACATTCTCTTATCCAACCAAATAACAGATTTGATATCAAGAACTGGCGCAAAGTTAAATCCTATTTCTCTCTCTCTCTTTATACCATGTCAAATTATTAATCTTATGATATGTATCATTTGTATAAAAGAATTGATATCACAACTGTGGCGCCAAGCTGAATTCATCAAAGTTTTATCAAAATTTTATATATTATTCGTAAAAAAGATTTGATATCAACAATTGGCGCCAAGTTAAATTCCATGTAATTCGAATACCAAATTAAATAAATAATATTAACTTTAATGATATATGTATCATTCCTATAAAAGATTTGATATCAAGAACTGGCTCCAAGTTAAATCCCACTTCTTTATACCATGCCAAATTAAATAAATAATGAATATTAATCTAATGGTATGTATTATTTGTACGAACGATTTGATATCAACAACTGTGGCGCCAAAATAAATTCTACTATCAAAATGAAAAGTAAAACTCAAGTGATACTATTTTTATTATTTACTTAATCCAAATGGTACTATCTTTAATTTTTATACAACGAAACCTAAGTATACGTATACTTATTGAAGAATCTTCCTACTCCAATCCAAATGGTTTAAATTCCTCTTAAATGAAATTATTATATCACATTTTATTCAAAGACATTTTCTCTTCCAACTAAAGTAGTGGTTATTTAATTCTTTTTCAAAACATATACGAAATATTATCACAAAATTGCGTTACCTTGCTCAATTTAAGTGTTACACAAAAAATTAAAGAATTTGCAGTATAAAATAAAATAATTTAGTTTAAATAGAAAAATTTTTCATGTAAAAACACTTGGCGCTGCTAGATCCGGATATACAATAACATGGTAGTATAGTAGTAAAGCATGAATGTAAATAAGAAGGATAAGAATATAATATTTTGAAAAAATAACATAAATAAGAAGCATATTAATAAGAAAAATCAAAATCATATTAAAAAATATGAATATTTCGAATCCCCCCAATGAGAGTTAAAATATCTAGCATGTGTATATATGATTGAGTTTTAATAATTCTTTCATACCCCCCTCCCCCCCTTTTCACCCGGAGATCTTACCGTCTTCTTACTACTCCTAAACACATCCTGTACCTTCCCCTCTCCCTCCTCTCCACTCTCTCCTTCTCTCTTCCTTTTCATAAATTTTGGAGGGAGGAAATGAGGGAGGGGTTATTGGGAGTAAGGAAAGAGATAAGAGAGGTAGTGGAGGGACAGAAGGAGTGGATGAGGAAGGAAGTAGAGAGGATGAAAGGAGAGCTGAAGGAGAGGGAGGAAAGGTGGGAGAGGTAAAAGGGGGAAATGGTAGAGAGATTGAAGGAGATGGAAAGGGAATTAGACGAAATGAGAATAGGGGGAAGGAAGAGGGAATGGATGAAGAGAGGAAAAGGAGATAGAGTGGAGATAGGGGAGAGGGAAGGGAGGAAGGGATGGATGGAAAGGATAAGAAGATTAGAGAGAAAGAGTGAATGGGGAGAAAGAGAAGAGAGGAAAAGGAATATTATAATAAAAGGGGTGTGGAGGGGGGAAATGGGAGATGGAAGGGAAGATAAGAGAGATTTTGGGAAGTATAGAGGCGGGGGTAATGATTGATAGAGTAAGGAATTTAAAGACTGGTAGGCAGGAGAGGGGATGGATGGGGGTGATAACAATGGGGAGTGTGGAGGATAAGGGAAATATTTTAAAAAGTAAAGTGAAATTGAGAGGAAGGGAGATATGGATAGAGGAAGATCTGACGTGGAAGGAGTGGAAGGGGGGTTGGGGATAGAGAGAGTGTGATGGAAATGGGATGAAGAGAGGGAAGAATTGAGGGAAGGAAGGGGAAGGAAATGGGGTGAAGAAGAAAAAAGCGGGCAGGGGGAAAGGGAGAAGAAAGAGAGGAGGGAGAGGAAGGGGGAGCAGGAAAATAATAAGGGGGGGTAGAAGGGGAAGGGAGGGTATAAAGGACAGGGATAGTAGGGAGAAGACGAGCGGGGTGGGCAAAGGAGAGGGGAAGAGTAGAGAGAGGGGGGAAAGGGAGGCTGGGAGGATATTAGGGAGCAGCGGTCGAAGAGGGGGGGAGGAAATAGGAGGGAGGTGGAAGAAGAAGAGGGGAAGGAAAAGTGATAAAGATGGCGTTTTGGAATGTGGCGGGGTTGGAAAATAAGGATGAGATTTTTGGGATAGATTGAAAAGGTGGGATGCGATGGTTTTGATGGAAACATGGGTGGAAAAAAAGGAAGGGAAGTAATTAAAAGAGAGGTTGCCGGAGGATTATGTATGGAGAGTGCAGGAGGCGAAGAGGAAAAATAAGAAAGGAAGGGCAATGGAGGGTATGCTGATGGGGATTAGAAAGGAGTTGTATAGGGATAGTAGGGAGAAGAGGGTAGAAAGGAAGAGGAGGGGGTGATGACAGGAAAGTAGGAAGGAATAGGGCAAGGATGATGGAATTGTATATAAATATGGATGTGAAAAAGAAGCTGGAGAGTTTGGTGGAATGGATGGAGGGGAAGGAAGAGGGGATAAAAACTGTGATAGGGGGGATTTTAATGTAAGAACGGGGAGTGAGGGAGGAAGGATAAGGAAAGAGATTGAAGGAGAGGAGGAAGAGAAGAGAAGGTCTAGGGATAGTAGGAAAAACATGGTGGGGGGTAAATTGGTGGAGTTAATAAGGGAAAGGGGTTGGTTTATACTAAATGGGGATATAAAAGGGGACGAAGGGGGAATTGGATGTATACAGGGGGAAGGAGGGTTTCAGTAATTGATTATGTGTTGACGGATGAAGAAACGAGGGAAGAGATTGAGTATTTGAAGGTGGGGGATAAAATGGACTCCGATCACCATCCCGTGGTTGTGACATGGAAAAGATGGAGAGAAAAGGGAAAAGGTACGGGAAAAGAGGGAGGAGGAGCGAGCAGGAGGGTGTGGGCTGAGGAAAGTAGGGTAGTATTTAGAGAGAGAGATTGGAGGGGAATGGAGGGAGGGGAAGGGGATGGAGTAGATGGAGTGCATGAAGGAAACGGAAGCAATAATAAGGGAGATATTGGGGATTATAGAGAAGGAGAAAGGTAAAGAAAGGAAAGTAAGAGGATGGTGGAATATGGAATGTAGAGAGAAGAAGGAGGGGGTAAGAAGGGTATTAAGGGTGTGGAGGAAAGGGAATGGGGAAAGAATGGAGTACAGGAAAGAGAAAAGGGAGGGGGTGAAGGTGGCGGATAAGAGAATATTTGGGTTAGCGTATACGGATGATGTGGTGCTATTGGCGGAGGAGGAGGGGAGTATGAGTATACGTAAACGTTTCGGTCACCATCTGACCATCCTCAGTACATACATCTTAAATTAAATCCATATATAAAAATTATTAAATGTCAATTATCCAGTTTTAACCCATTATTCGCCGACAGTATATAATTCATTTAACATAAAATTACGCTAGTCAAAAGTAGGAAGCCACTTCCAGTCCAAACAAGCATGAAATTTTATAGATCGTTGTTCATCAAAGTCAATATGTTAATACTTGCATAATATCCATTTTAAATATGCGATTGCCAGATGCTAATTATACAATAATAGTTGTGATCGAAAACCAAAAACATAAAATTGAAAAAGATTATTTAGAACTATATTAAGTATAAAATCTCTTCATATAAATTCAATTATTACTATAGCTGTTATACCCTTCATTGAACTCACCACATATTTGTAGATACATGCATTACACAAAAAACTTTTAACAGATTATCTTCCACTATCAAATTAATCAAATTCCACCGTACGATTTTTCAAATATAAGAATTATAATTTTCAAACAATTCATCGCTATTCCTGAGAACATATTTCAGAGGTACGTAACTTGTGACCGCTTACACGAGTACAAGTCGTATTTATCTTTTACTGTTAGACAAAGAAAATAGAGATCTAGAAAGAGTTAACCGATATTATGTGAGAGAGGGGCATTGAAAAAAAATTTTTTCATTACTGTTTCCTAACTTAGTTAACAAATTCGTTGCAGTCAAACAGAGATGTAAACCATACGTGAATTTGACTGTCCCAAATTTTGTTCCAAATGAAAATGTTCTAAATTAACCAAACTGGTCCAGCTTTCAAAAATAAAGTTTTTAATAGTCTAGTCAGTTGAGATAAAGTCGACGAGTCCCACCAATTTTCAATAATACCTGAAAATGAATATTGTGAAAAAATACATAATAATAATTAGATAATTTGCGGGAGGAATAAAATATAATATTACTTGTGTTTATTACATATAATATGCAATAGCTCCTGACAGACTTGGGAAATTGTTCGTTGCAGACAAACAGAGATGTAAACACCATACGTGAATTTGAAAGTTCCAAATTTTGTTCCAAACATCCTTTCGTAAATTCCATTTGAGAAAAATTTTCTTGACATTTTCTGGGAATGGATTGATTAATTACTTGTTCAGTATGACATTAATGATTTACTTTCCCGCGTGTTCGTCGATGCCATCGCGTGGCCATGATTCGTGCCACTCGTGCACTCAGTCAACTTTAGGGGGCGCTTCAAGTGCCACGGTGGCACCCAGCTCGTTATAGGTGTTGTTACCGCTCTCGCAACTCGCTCTCGCTGTTAACCGCCATTGTTGTAGCAATCTCGCGTGTAAGAGCCAGACGCGGTTTTGTGTACTCGCATCAGTGAATCGACAATAAATCCTTAAAACGAACTAAAGGAATACAGAATCTTTATTCCTGACCACGCCGAGCGCGAAGAATATTCACCGCGTATTATCCGCGTGGACGCAGGGCGCGACACACGAAGCGCAATACCCTACATCTTTTGGTCCTTCGAACCGGATACATCGGCATTCGGTTCACGAGACACATATCCAAGTCGACCGCGGGACTCCCGGCCTTCACGTGATATTATCAGCAAGGTGTGTGAAGCGGACATTTGTCACACCGGTAAGCATCGGCGTTGATTTCAAGCAGCGCACCAAGGCGCACGACCACGCGCACAAGCACGCGCACGGTCGACATTACGGGCGGCGTGCCAAGCAGCCAGCCGCATCATCGACGTCGCATCAAGCAGCGCACCAAGGCGCACGACCACGCGCACAAGCACGCGCACGACCGACATTACGGGCGGCGTATCGAGCAGCCAGCCGCATCGTCCACATCGGTCATCAAGAAGGCGCTTCAAGGCAAGCGGCCGCCTTTTATTAACGCGCGGTTTTATTAACAACGAGTCAGCATCGTCAGCATTTTCAAGGACGAGCTTCCGTTCCTGACAACGGCACAGGAAGGGCGAAGCGCCGCATCACGTTCGTTTTCTGAAACTCTTTGTCACATAAGGTGAGGGTAACTATCGCGTTCGGCCGCTAACCAGAATTTTCGTGCTTATCAATAGGTTATTACATGTTATTTCAAAATGTCTCAGAACGATATAACCGCTCTTAAAAAACAGCGCACGATTATTAAGGCATCATGTACGCGAATTAAGACATACGCGGAAGCCGTTACCACGTTACGCCGTCGGTAACGGCACAGCTCGAAGAACGAAAGTTAAAACTGAACCATTATTGGTTAGAATATTGCAATGTTCAGTCTCAGTTAGAAATGTTAGTCGAGGACGAATCGAACGATCGTGCCACTTTCGAAGACGCGTATTTCGGATTGTCAGCCAAAATTAGAGAATTACTAGTCGTACGCAGTCCTTCAAATCGAAGCATCGTCAGTCCATCGCCTTCAAATGTATTAGAAACGCGCGAGTCCACGTTACACGTAAGGTTACCTAAGATCAGTCTTACGACTTTCAGCGGCAAGTGGTTTCCTTTTTTTGACGCATTTAACTCTATTATACATTCGAACACATCAATCGGCAATATTCAGAAACTTCAATACCTACGAACTTCGCTGTCAGGCGAGGCGGCCGATGTCATAAGCTCGCTGGAAATTTCCGATCTTAACTATGAAGTAGCCTGGAAATTGTTGAAAGACCGATACGACAACAAACGAGTGATTGTGCACACGCACATCAAGGCAATTATGGAGCTTCCTTCCTTGACGAAGGAAAATTCCATCGAGCTGAGGCAAGTCGCAGACAGCGCATCCAAGCACATACGCGCTCTTCAAGCATTAAAGCGTCCGACATCCCAGTGGGATGACTTGCTCGTGTACATTTTAAGCGCAAAACTCGACGCGATTACACTGCGCGAATGGCAATCTTCGTTGTCCGGTACAGACCTACCAAATCTAAAGCAGCTTCTCGATTTTATGAACCATCGATGCCAAGTTCTCGAAGCCACAAGTAAGTCCACGAACACATCAAATAAGCAAAATAACGCGCGGGCATCATCGCAAGGAAAGCGTCAGACGGCGTGCGCGACAATGCTTAATTGCAAAGAATGCAAAGAAGACAATGCAAAGAATTTTTGACGCTTTCAGTGCCCTGCAGAAATTTAGAAATGCGTAAGCGCAAGACTTGTATTAATTGTCTGCGTTCCACCGCGCACATAGCTAGCAACTGCCCATCAGGAAATTGCAGAACATGCAAAGCTAAGCACAATACGCTGCTACACACAGCAAGTGCTCAGGATCGCGATGCGAATAAGAGTGAAGAAAGGGCGCCGGTTTCGTCTTCGGCGGCGGTAGTCATGCACGTGCATAATTTCCCCGGAGATCGGTCGATCCTGCTGTCCACGGCCGTCATTCACGTTCATGATGCCGCGGGGAAACCTGTCGCCTGCCGAGTCTTGCTAGATTGTGGTTCACAGGCTAATTTTATTTCTGAGAAGTGCTTATCTAGGCTCAGCCTAAAATCACAGTCAACGAATATTTCAATTTCAGGTATAAACGGGACAACTAGTACGTCTACTCAGGTTGTGCGTTTGAAATTTCAATCTCGGTTGAACTCCTATTCCGCTATTATTGACTGCGTAGTAACAGCAAATTACGGACAGGCTTCCGGCTCTAACTGTTGATCAAGACAAGGTCGATATTCCTCGAAATCTAAGGTTGGCTGACCCCCAGTTTTTCAGAACATCAAATATCGACATTTTACTAGGCGCCGAGATATTTTGGGAATTATTATGTGTAGGACAAGTACAATCCTCGCTAAGGCACCCAACGCTCCAAAAAACTCGATTAGGTTGGATCGTAGCCGGTCGAATCGGCATTTCTTCGCACATCCCGCGAGGGATACGTTCTTTTCATGCTACCATATCTAATGCGCAGTTGCATGAACAGCTAGGTCGTTTTTGGCAACAAGAAAATTCCAGCAACAATTCTAGCAACCACACTTTGGTGGAGGCTAATTGTGAGCAACATTTTCTAAATAACGTCTCTCGCGATCCAAACGGTAAATTTATAGTAAAGCTTCCACTGAAGGAGCAGCTAATCACCAAGATCGGCAACTCAAGAGACACCGCGTTAAAACGTTTGCGGGGCATTGAAAGGCGTTTTCAACGCACTCCCAATTTGAAAGCGCAGTACGTAGAATTCATGAATGAATACGCGTCACTGGGCTATATGAAAATCACAGACATCGAATCAAACGAAGATTCAACAGCGTTTTATCTACCACACCATTGCGTTTTTAAGAACGCAGATGGGAATTCAAAAATACGCGTAGTGTTCGACGCATCGTGCAAGAGCAGCACGGGCGTTTCGCTCAACGACGCGCTCGCGGTAGGCCTGTCGTACAGCAGAACTTGATGTCGATCCTGTTACGATTTCGTACGCATCGATACGCTATTTCGGCTGATATAGTTAAGATGTACAGACAGATTCTGATGGACCCGTTACAAATCAACTTACAGAGGATCTTATGGCGAAACGACGTCAGTTCAGACGTCACGGTGTATGAGTTAACGACGCTTACTTACGGCACTTCCTCGACACCATATTTCGCCACGAGATGCCTTAAATACTTGACGGAACAGCACGCATCAGAATTCCCGGTAGGGTCGAAATGCGTAGAACGCGACTTTTACGTCGACGATCTACTCACAGGAGCAGATACAATCGCGGACGCGAAATTAATAATAAAGGAAACTACTCAGTTACTCCAATTAGGCTCATTCAAACTTAGCAAGTGGGCATCGAGCTGTTCACAGCTATTATTGGGCGCGGAGGGACATTTAGAAGGCTCAGTGCTCATCGGCGACGACGTCTTTTCACGCGTTCTCGGAATTCACTGGGATCAGAACAAAGAAACGTTGCATTTTTCTCATAAAGATAATGCGGACTATTCCTCGACTTCGAAACGTCTAATACTGTCAGAGGTAGCTAGGTTGTTTGATCCATTAGGATTAATCGGACCTGTTATTGTCACAGCGAAAATTATCATCCAGGAATTATGGCAAACAAGTCATCAATGGGACGAATCAGTTCCCCAAAGCATACAGTCGCGCTGGATAAAGCTTAGATCGCAGCTAGTAGATCTAAATGAACTACGAATCCCACGTTGCGTCATGTTTGCAGCGGATCCTCAACTTGTCCAGGTGCATGGGTTTTGCGACGCCAGCCAACGAGCCTATGGCGCCTGCATATACCTACGAACCGAAACCGCCAATGGGTATCGCGTGGAGTTGCTTTGTTCTCGATCGCGTGTAGCACCGCTCAAGGTCATCTCATTACCCAGGTTAGAATTATCCGCAGCACTATTGCTGTCACAGCTCTTAGAAAAAACAAGAAACTCGTTCGACTTGTCGCGCATGAATATATTTCTCTGGTCGGACTCTATGATAGCTCTCAATTGGCTGTCTTCGCCTTCTCGAAAATGGACAACCTTCGTGGCTAACCGGGTCGGCGAAATCCAACGCCTGACCAAAATAGAAAATTGGAGACTGTAACGTCCGGTGCGCTACATTATAGCACCCCAGCCGTTTACCAAGCGAACGCGAGCACGGAGTATAGCAAATAATACAATACGTGCCAACTACAAGCGCGTATAACTATAGGATAAGCTACCGAAACCGTCGCGTTCGAACGCCGCGCGCACAGCGCCTGCGCAACCAATAAAATAGAAAAACTAATAGAAAAATGCACTAAAGCACGTAAATAGCGCCGCCAAAAGACGAGAAATAACGAACATCATAATTACCAACCAAATAATCACGAGGAAATAGCGCCGATCCACCAAGAACGAGTAAAAACGCGCAATTACTCGTAAAATGCATAGCGATGCAACGCGAAACGCGCGCATCGATCACGAAGGCCTCAAAAAACAAATAAAAGCTATTACAATTTAAATAAGGGCACGAATAACGAAACAAGAGCCCTAAACAAACAAAGGAGACTCGCGAGCGCTTCAGAAGAAAGAACTGAAGACACGCGGAAAAGCAGCATGAAAAAACGCGCAAGGGATGCACGCTCGCTACGCCGCGACCGAGTGCATCACGCGCCAACCAAGAGCACCCCTAAGAATATTGCGAACCCCGCTAAACATGAGAACGACCGAAAAGGCAAAAAGACACACAGTAATCAAATAAATCGCGATAAAAGAATTAGAATATTCGAGAGAATTTCGCAACAACACGTGTGCGAAAACACCCCTTTACCGCGAGGGGTCACGAAACAAAATGTATATAAAGCGGGACAATTTACAGCCAAATCGCCTATTCCTTCCTGGAAACCAAGACGGTAAGGACTCCTAGCGCTTTCACTAGCGCTCCGGATCTTCCGTGCTTCCTAGCTAAATCCAGCCCCGATCGTGCGCCAACCACGGCGTCTGACGGGCTAGCTCCTCGCCTGATTCCGGCAGCGCCAACCATGGCGACGCTGAAATCACCTACTTGCGGATCTCCAAACGAGCGCCTCTCAGGCGTCGAGGCTTCCGCACTCCCTCTCTCTTTCCGATCTGCCGTATTCACCAAACGTTCTCTCTGGGCGCAGATGCCGCAGAAAAAACGTCCACGCGGCAAGCGAGGAGGGTGGCGAATCCACCTTAAGAGATTACAACGGGAACTCCTGACTGTGGGGGAATTCGATCCTTCTGATCACTGGAGGGAGAACGCGGGGGACATACACAAAACCACCGCTGACGCGCCGGGCACGACACCCGACTTCGCGGATTCGCCTAATTCGATCCAGGAGAAAAGCGCCAAAGATACCGTAGTCACCGCTACGCCGCTGCGCCGCCACGATCGAGACCGCCATCATCTCCACCGCACGTAACGCCAACACGCAAGGTCACAAGGCCCACGATCATTACGTCGAAACCTCGCGTAGTCAATAACACTCCGTGTACTATTAATATAAAAATCGTATAATCCAAAATATTTCTATTTTCATTTGTCTGCCCTTAAGGCCTTTTCAAATCCTTCCAAGTCCTTCTCATCACAAAGGAGAGTGTAGATAGAGAGATGCGAAATGAAGCCTAACTAACGCATCCTCTAAACTCTCCATTTTATTTTATTAGAAGAACCTGGAAGGCTAATTACTTTAAACTCAAGTAACTTCTTAGAAGTAAATACATTATCTCCGAATTTCGTGCTCATTTCCGAGCACTGGTGACAGCTGCCTATTCTAACAACAGAAAAACGCGTCAAAACACCGCGTTGAAGCTAAGGCTTCGCCCCGCGCGCCCCGCGCGCCCCGCGCGCCCCGCTCCGCGCTCGCGTTCCCGCTACTCGTGTCGCGTCTCGAGACCGCTGGAAACTCACGCTCAGGATGTAACAGAGACACATTCGGTCTTCAAACAATCCCGCCGATGCGTTATCGCGTGGACTCAACCCCCAAGAATTGATCGAGTCATCTTTGTGGTGGCACGGCCCTGAATTTCTGCAGTCCCAGCAGGATGATTGGCCAAGCGGCAAGTTTACTCAATCTGAAGATGGCATGCCGGAGATGAAGAAAATCACGGCCGCCGTTTCTCTCGAACAATCGGTGGTAGACGAATTGATTAGTAAGTTCTCAAGTCTCACCAAGATATGTCGGATTCTAGCCTATTCTCTCAGGTTTTGCAAGGTAAATCGGCCAAGCCCATCAACTGTTACTCTCTCTCACAGTGAAATAGCTTGTGCTCTCAACATTGCATGCCGGACAATACAAAGGACGTGCTTTCCAACCGAATACACGGTGCTAGCTAAGGGAAGGCCTGTCAGCTCGTCTAGCAAAATACTATCGTTGTCCCCCTTTATGGATGATTTCGGACTGATTCGCGTGGGGGATAGGTTAAAGCATTCCAGATTGCCATTCGATACTCGGCATCCCATCCTGTTACCCTGCGAACACGAATTGACGAAGCGCGTGATAAGTCACGAGCACGTGCGCAATTTGCACGCTGGAACGCAGGCCACGATGGCTGCCGTAAGGTAACGGTTTTGGCCTCTATCACTCAGGTCAAGTACGCGTAAAATCCTCCGAAATTGTGTAATTTGTTTCAAGGCAAAGCCGGTTCAGTCGGAAGTAATAATGGGTTCTTTACCGGCTAGTCGCGTCATTGAATCAAGGCCATTCTCGCATTGTGGCGTGGACTACGCTGATCCAGTTATACTAAAGGAGGGCAAGCGGCGAAATGCCCGTAATACTAAAGCATATATTTCCGTGTTTGTATGCTTCTCGACAAAGGCAGCTCATCTCGAACTAGTGAGCGATCTTACTTCAAGTGCCTTTATTAGCGCGCTTCGACGTTTCATTTCGCGAAGAGGAAAACCGACATGTCTATACTCGGACAACGGAACTGTCTTTGTGGGAGCCTGCAATCAGCTCAAGGAAATTCAGAACTTTCTCAAAACTCAGCAGGTTATAGTCGATATAGAGCAATTTCTTTGCAAGCAAGAGATCATCACATGGAAGTTCATACCTCCTAACGCACCCCACTTCGGGGGCTATGGCAAGCTGCGGTAAAAGCAGCCAAGTACCACATGGCGCAAATAGTGGGTAGGGCTCACTTAAACTTCGAAGAAATGCAAACGGTGCTTGCTGACATTGAGGCAGTCCTGAATTTGCGACCGCTCACGCAGCTTAGCAACGACCCCAACGATTTAAACTATATTAGCCCCGGACATTTTCTGGTTGGAACGGCACTGAATAGTCTCCCTTGCCGCGACTTATGCGACATAAATGAAAACCGCTTAACGCGTTGGCAAAAAATGGACCAGCTAAGGCAGCACTTTTGGAAGAGGTGGAGCGCAGAGTATCTCCATTCGCTCCAGGAACGCTCTAAATGGAAGATCAACAAGGGCGTGCAGTTACAACCTGGGCAACTGGCGCTCATTCGACAACCAGGCCTAGCCCCTATGCAGTGGCTGTTAGGCCGAATTCAGAAGACTCACCCGGGCTCCGATGGTGTTGTGCGCACAGCCACAATCCGAACTAACAAGGGAACATTTGTGAGACCCTTGTCCAAGCTAGCTGTGTTACCCATAGAATCATAAGGCGTTAGTTATAATTACTTAATCTTGTTTTAGTCATAAGCCGTTTTTATTAGTGCGTAAGTGCTTTTCTTTTTCCTTTATTGATAATAGCGAGCGTACTACACGATCTAGTTATAATCACGCGTATTGAAAGCATCATCTTTCAAGGGGGGCGGCGTGTTCAGTATGACATTAATGATTTACTTTCCAGCGTGTTCGTCGATGCCATCGCGTGGCCATGATTCGTGCCACTCGTGCACTCAGTCAACTTTAGGGGGCGCTTCAAGCGCCACGGTAGCACCCAGCTCGTTATCGGTGTTGTTACCGCTCTCGCAACTTGCTCTCGCTGTTAACCGCCATTGTTGTAGCAGTCTCGCGTGTAAGAGCCAGATGCGGTTTTGTGTACTCGCATCAGTGAATCGACAATAAATCCTTAAAACAAACTAAAGGAATACAGAATTTTTATTCCTGACCACGCTGAGCGCGAAGAATATTCACCGCGTATTATCCGCGTGGACGCAGGGCGCGACACACGAAGCGCAATACCCTACATTACTCAATACATATTTTATAAAATTTTACATTATATCAGAATTCTCTTGTCTTATTCCCCACCACGCTTGCGATCTAATCATATTCTGCATTACCAGTAACGCGTGCTCCTGTCCATAGCCGTATAGGCAACTCGACTTGCTGAGTATATTACACAGAGGCATGCTTTACTAGTAATGCAGAACCTACACATCAGTAAATCAAGTTGTCTGTCTGCTCATGGGCAGAAACATGCTTTACTAATAATGCAGAATAAGATTAGATGACAAGTCCAACGGAGAATGAGACAAGATTGAATTTTACATGCTACTAATATACTATAAAGTTCAATAATAAGATTAAAAAAATTTTTTATTATGTATTAAATGTTGTCATTTATCGTTCCCCGCCGGACTTGCGATCTAATCATATTCTGCATTACTAGTAATGCATGTTTCTGCCCATAGACATACAGGCAACTCGAATTACTGAGTATATTATACAGTTAAACAAAGGTGTAAACCATACGTGAATTTGACCAAATTTTGATCCGAATGTTCCATACTAGTACATCTTTCGAAAATAAAGTTTTTAATAGTCTAGTCAGTTGAGGTAAAGTCGACGATTTCCATCAATTTTCAATAATACCTGAAAATGAATTTCATAAAAAAAGCCTCGTACATAATAATAATTAGATAGTTTGCGGGAGGAATAAAATATAATATTACTTGTGTTTATTATATATAATATGCAATAGCTCCTGACAGACTTGGGAAATTGTTCATTGCCGATAAACAAAGATGTATAAACCATATGTGAATTTGAATGTCCCAAATTTTGTTTCAATCTTCACGTTTTCTGGAGGATGGATTCATTAATTATTAAATACATTGGGACGTGACATTTTGCCCGTCACTGTGCGGATTTGTCGGCAGAGGACTCGTGCTTCTTATCGGCTCGGA